CTTTGAGTTCTCTAGTTTTACATCTCAGGACATAGTAAAAATCACCTGGTCCTTAGCAGTTCTTAAAAGCAGGTAAATGCAATCTCAGATGAACAGCAATACATGATATATTACACCATGCCATCATTTATTTCACAAAAAGAAAACTAAATTGAGGAAGCCATGTGTGAAAAACTAAGTACACTTTATGATTCAGTAGCTTTTAGAACCACCTTTAGCAGCAATAACTAATTATTTCCTGCGTGACTTTATCAGTCTCTCACATCATTGTGAAGGAATTTTGGCCCATTCTCCTTTATAACTTTGCTTCAGTTCATTGAGGTTTGTGGGCATTTGTTTATGCACAGCTCTCTTGAGGTTCTGCCACTGCATTTCAATCTGGTTGAAGTCTGGATTTGACTGAGCCATTGCAACACCTTGATTCTTTTCTTTTTCAGCCATTCTATTGTAGATTTGCTGATGTGCTTGGGATCATTTTCCTGTTGCATGACCCAATGCCGACCAAGCTTTAGCTGTTAGATAGATAGCCTCACATTTGACTCTAGAATACTTTAGTATACTGAGGAATTCATGGTTGACTCAATGACTGCAAGGTGCCCACATCCTGTGGCTGCAAAACAAGCCCAAATTATCACTCCTCCACCACCGTGCTTAATTGTTGGTATGAGGTGTCTGTGCAAATATGCTGGGTTTGCTTTTTGCCAAATGCTGCACTGTGCATTATGGCCAAATTTTGGTCTTGTTTATCTAAAGCACAGTGTTCCAGAAGTCTTGTGATTTGTTCAGATGCAACTTTGCAAAGCTAAGCCATGCTGCCATGTTATTTTTAGAGAGAAGAGGCATTGCCCTGGCAACCCTTCCAAGCAAACCATTCTTGTTCAGTCTTTTTCTAATTGTACTGTCATGAACTTCAACATTTAACATGCTAACTGAAACCTATAGAGTGTTGGATTTTTTGCAATTTCTCTAAGCATTGCATGGTCTGACCTTGGGATGAATTTGCTGGGATGTCTGCTCCTGGAAAGATTGGCAACTGTCTTGAATATTCTCCACTTGTGAATATTCTTCCTCACTGGAGAATGATGGGACTTAAAGTGTTTGGAAATGGCTTTATGACCCTTTGCAGGTTGATGGGCACCACAATTGCTTCTCTAAGATTATTGCTGATATTTTTCCTCTTTGGCATTGTATTAACACATATACACAGTGCTTTTTTTCTTTAAAAAAAAAAAAAAAGGTGCCGGAACTCACACATGTCATACAACCTGCCTTGCCTACCCTACAAGGTTCCATCCAAAAAAGGTGCCGGAACTCCGTTCTGGGCGTTCTATGAGAAAAAAAGCCCTGCATATACATAATGGTGGAGACCAGCAAACTCCTAAAACTTCGGCATATATAGAAGTAGTCACACTTGCTGATGAACAGTTGATCAAGGGCATTTGATTAGCAGCACCTGGCTGCTACTTAGCCTCTTCATACCTATGGAAGCAGTAAGGATATACCGTGTTTCCCCAAAAATAACACCGGTCTTAATTTTTCTTTTGCCTACAAAAGAGGCATTAGATCTTATTTTGGGGGGATGTCTTTTCCACTTCTCCCCTAGTGGCAGTGGCACTTACAGTCCCGCCTATCAGGAGCCCATGTGGCTGCCGCCGGTCCACTTTTTCTGCAGCTGCTTGCCACCACTCACGTGCATCACCCTCTGGTCTCTGTTTTGCCATCAGTGGCCTTCTGGAAAGGCCTCTGCAGCTGAGAAATGAGCTCCGGATTGACGTGCCCAACACCCCCCCGGCCTCCATTTCAGCATCAGAGGCCTTCAGGAAAGGCCTCTGACAGCAAAAGGGAGGCCTGAGGGGGTGTGCAAGTGGCAACGAGCAGTTGCAGAAAAAGTGGGCTGGCGAGGCAGATGTCGGGGCGTGGTAGGCTTGGCTGTAACTGTACTAAGGTAAGCAGCTATGGGGTGCGTGGGCAGCTCCAGCCCCCCCCCATCCCTGCCCTAGCTTGATTTTTATGCATGCACCTCACCCCACGTCATACAACCAGGTGCAATGGAGTGGGCAGGGTCTTATGTAGGGCTTACTTTTGGAGTAGGGCTTATATTGGGTGCACATGTAAAAATCAAGCTAGGGCTTATTTTCAGGGTAGGTCTTATTTTTGGAGAAACACAGTACTTCATTTTTCTCACATAGCTCACATTGTGGCTTTCTTTTTGTAAAAAACTGCTAAGGATCAGATGCTTTTTACTATTTCCTGATATGTAAAACCTAGAACTCAAAGAAGGTTTACTTTCTTTTTCACATGACTGTACATCTTATTTCCCATTTTCATCCTACAAGTCTGCTTATTATATCAACATGCTGTTTCCAATGCTTTTATAGATAAGTTGAATAGTATATGGGATAAAGGGCAAGACTCCTTGGTACCTCTTGAAAATGTGATGGGGTCTTTATCTGAGCTTTTGTTTGTGCTTAAATATTTTCATACATCTTTTGAAAATCAGTCCCAAATTTGAATTTAATTTTTGTTATAAAAATTGTCAAAAAAAAAAAAAGAATCAGAAGCTTTAATTATATCTAAAGATCGAATGGCTAGCAAATCCTTATTAATTTGACTAAGCTGTATAATATTTAATACTTTCTTGATAGGAGTAGATATATTTTGATTTGGAATAAAGCCAGATTGAGTCATCTTAATTGACTGATTCAGATTAATTTTACTAATAATCACTTTTAGTTGATTAATCAATATATATTTATACACTATTATTATTATTATTATTATTATTATTATTATTATTATTATTATTATTATTATTATTATTATTATTATTATTATTTTAATTTCTATACCGCCCTTCTCCCGCAGGACTCAGGGCGGTGCACAGCATATTAAAAACAGATACAATAACAATATACAAAAATAAAACCCTTCTAAAACTAAATTAAAAACCAAATATTAGAGGCTGTGTTCCAATTAAAATTATACTTAAAATCGTCCCTAAATAAAATCCTCCTTAGGTCAGGCCCGCTTGCTGGAAAAGCCATGTCTTGAGGGCGCGGCGGAAAGTAAGGAGATCCAGAATCATCCGGATCTCGGGGGGTAGTTCGTTCCAGAGGGTGGGGGCACCCACAGAGAAGGCCCTCCCCCTGGGGGTCGCCAGCCGACACTGTTTGGCCGACGGCACCCTGAGGAGACCCACTCTGTGGGAGCGTACCGGTCTATGGGAGGAAATCTGAGGCAGAAGGCGGTCTCGGAGGTAACCAGGTCCGATGCCATG